TAAAGTTTGCTCCCGAGTTTTCTTTTGACTGCTTTCTCTACTGATGAAAATCATAAACAATAAATCATGAACGTCCTGTAGAAACTTCCCACAATCCGTAGCGGAAAGTTGGGGATCCATATTGCTAAATTAGGAACTATAGATGAGAAAAATGCCCATTTGCCCTCTTAGAACAGAATCTTTAAATGCCCCCCCACCTCAAAATATTACCCCAGCCTTTCATATTTAATTGTGTACAACTTTTGTGTTTGGAAGCAGGCTGCAACATATATATTTGCTTTTCAGCATAGAAACAATGTGACAAAAATGATACATAAAATTAAACGTTGATTTGGAAAACTTGAAAAATTATCTTAAGGCACAGTTTAAATTTTTTAATTTTGGAAATTGAACAACTAGAAACATGTGGTGTTTTTATTTTAAAAATGCAGGGCTTTTTTCAGGGAGAACTCACAGGAACTCAGTTCCTGAACCTCTCAGGTGGGTGCCATTGCCATTCTAAGAGAACAAGGGAGGTGTTCATGGTGAGTTCCGGCACCTCTGTTTCTAGAAAAATATCACCGAAAAAATGTATACCACACTTTCCCTCTCCCATCAAAAAGAGTTGCTGCAAGCAGCTTACAAGTAGAAAGGTTTTTTAAAAACCACCCAGCCACTGAAATGTGAATTACCTAACCAAAAATGATAGCAAAATGCACAGAGAGAGCAGCACTCAAATTCAATTCCTTAAGCAGCAATGAAAGCAAAAGCTTCTTTACAAAGAAATGTTTTCAGTTACTGAATTACAGAACGTTTTTTGTAAAGAAGTGTCAATGTCTGAATTCCAGTGTATCTGGCTAGGAGAGACTAAGCCTTGATTTCAACATGATGCAAGGGATGTGGATGGAACTTACCCATATGGCATTCCAAACACCAGGTGTCCTATTTCAATTGGGTGCATCATTTGCTCGTGCAGCAGCAGCATGTTAGGAAGCTTTGGCCTGAGGGTCAGGTCACGCTGAAGGCAGATGCATGGATGCTGTGCTACAGGGATGGGGAAACTTTTTCAGCCCAAGGGTTCCATTCTCTTCTGGGGACCACATGCAGGTGGTTGGTGGAACAGTGAACATGAATTTTACTTTGGTAAAGGTAAAGGGATCCCTGACCATTAGGTCCAGTCATGACCCACTCTGGGGTTGCGGCGCTCATCTCGCTTTATTGGCCAAGGGAGCCGGCATACAGCTTCCAGGTCATGTGGCCAGCATGACTAAGCCGCTTCTGGCAAACCAGAGCAGCGCACGGAAACGCCGTTTACCTTCCCGCCGGAGCTGTACCTATTTCTCTACTTGCACTTTGATGTGCTTTCGAACTGCTAGGTTGGCAGGAGCAGGGACCGAGCAACGGGAGCTCACCCTGTCGTGGGGATTTGAACCGCCGACCTTCCGATCGGCAAGTGGTTTAAACCATGCAAACCATGTCCACCAAAACCACTCAAGGGCGGTGGGTACATTGCAGGACCAGTGAGGGGGTGTGGTATGGAAAGAGTCAAGAGGGCAATGTTTGGTCTCTGGGCTTGAGGTTTCCCTTCTCTGACATACAGGCAAGCACACAAAAAGTGTTATTTAAATGGGGCATAAGAATAGTTGAGTGCTTTAACTCTGCATTGGTTTCTGGTACAGCTTGGCCATGCATGCTAATAGTTCATTTGTTCTTTATTGGCTGTGTGAAATGACATCATCAAATTCACTAACTTCTTGGTTTGGAGTATGAACTGTGGCACTTTGTATTCCAAGTGACACACTGCAGCTCTAGGTTCTTACCCTGATTGGATTACAAAACAAAGAAGAATTCCTCCCCACCTTTCTTTTCTCCTGTCTTTCCACTTACGTGGTCTAGTGTCAGCAGAAGTAGGATAGAGGCATGGGCGTACAAGGGAGGGGGGCAGGTGCCCCCCTAGATCAAGTAAAACAATAGAAATACTTAACATACTTAACTAACCAATCATGCCAGTTCTGCCCCCCAACAAAAGTCCTCCCCCCCAAAAAAAATTCTGGCTATGCCCATGGATAGAGGTTGTATGGGAATCTCCCCGGTGCTTTGAATTCTGCTATGGTGGTATACCAGGAGCTAGGGAGCCTGTGTTTATGAGTACATCTGAATGCCTTCTTGTGTGTATTCACTGCTCACTGGATCTCTCAAACACCCACCTCCCAGAGAGGGACCGAATCCTTGCTGAAAAGTGTTCTTGTTGTGCCTGACTAAGGTGTGACCCAAGGAAATACACACAAACAAAGATTTGGAAAAGGAAGCCTTCATTTATTGAAATGAAAGAATAAAAGGATATAACTCACAGTGCTGTGTTATGACTAATTTATGCACGGCAGCACTAGCATATGTAAATTTTGGGTGCATTTCATTATAGTCCTGACACATTCATAACTCTAAGCTAAATAATTCAAGATGCCCTATGCTAGGAGAAGGAAAAGGAAGGTTTGGGGGCACAAATATGGTATGTATTGTTGTGTTTTTATATTGTAAACCGCCATGTGATCCTCGGCTGAACGGCAGTACAGTATATAGATAAATTAAATAAATAGGAATAATAATTTGTAATACAAATTTCCAGAGATAGATCATTAAGTTACACCTTTTTCTGGCTCGATGCATAGAAGAGCTCTAAATGGGAAGGAGGAATAGGGTGTTTCATGTTTGCAGGATTCTCTTGGCTCCAAACCCTGTGGTATCAGAAATCCCTCTTCAAGACTTCATGGTTTAAATTTAGTGAATGCTGTCCTTGTGAGCCCAGAATGAAAAAGATGTGGTAGAGCTCAAAATAGCTAACCATTCAAAAATTAAAGAAATATACTTGTAGCTCTAGTAACTACATTATGTGAGGGAGGGGTTTTAGTGACTGCAAAACGAAACATGATGATGTTTATATTTACTTGCTCATCTCCCTGCCCCCTGCCCCAACAGATGTGCATCCTGGCTTCAGCTGCCTTAACAAATTTTAGATAAACAACCTCTTGATCGGTTTCTAGTCCTGTCATGAATAATGTATACTTGGGAGAAATTCACCTCTAGCCGGGTGGGGGGGAGCATTTTGCCAACAGGACTAGATAAAAATCTTTCAAAGCCTGCATTTTGAGGCCCTTCCTTTGAAACTTGTCAATGTCATTTGCTTGCTGTTAAAGCCAAGGCATCTGCATCATGTAATGAAGTATCAATGGAGAAAAGGGAGGAAAGACAAATATTTCCCAGGGTGCACCACATTTTATGTTGGGCACAGTCCAGTGAGATGAACCATAGTTCTGGTGCCATGGGCAATCCTCATACCTGTTAAATATAATTTTCCCAGGCCACCACTCTCCTTTAATTAGATGCTGGCCCCCTGACAACTGTGTATCCCAGGGCTATTGGCCGCAGGGCCACTTCTAGAGCAGTAGTCCAGCAGACATCAAGGAAGGAGGCCTGCGGTGATGATCTCCTTATTGCCATTAGACCAGAAAGTGGCAGTGAGCCAACAGGAAAGTCTATATAGGCTCCCATGCGGGGATTGGAAGAGGTGTTTGGACCACATTAGACTCTTGCTCATAAAGTGTGACAGAATCTAAATTGAACCCCAGCAAAACTGGGTTATTTATCCTGCCTCCCATCCCTCAGACATAGTACTCAGACTCTCGGCTTGAAGAAGCCTGAAAGTTTTATTTTAGAAGTCAGCACATGTTCTCAGCATCAACTCAGAATACAGGATACATGGCTCAAAGGTCCATAAGCAGAGTTCTAGGAAACATGGCTAGGTATAAGCAAAGATATTGTCCCAACACCTAACACAGGGCCAGACTTCGGTAATCTTGTGTAATATGGCGCCCTGTGCGAGGCCAAAATGGATCTTCTCAACTGTGGATCTTCTCAGTCTGAAGGCAGCCCTGTAAAGGGAAGCTTTTTTTTTTTGAATGCTTAATGTTTTATTATTTTATATATGTTGAAAACCACCCAGGCTGCAAATCATGGTTTATTGCATTATTTTCATTGAGGCCTAGTTCCCATTGACATGATAAGCTTGTATCCCACTTCATTCAAGCTGTACTCTTGAATATTATGCTATATAAAATTCCTTCCACACAGAAAAGTCAATGCCAAAGAAAAATGTTCAAGCCAAGTCTTCCCCTTCACATGCCAGTTTTTTAAATGTAAGCATTCCCTGCACATCCTCCTTTGGAAACATGGCTATCATTTGAGCCACCATGTACAGTCTGAAGTGGTACAATCTAGGGACAAGCTGACCACATCCCAGGAGTGTTAGGCCTCTGTGGGGAAGGCTGGGAAGGGAAAAAGTTATTGTTGGAAAGAGGTTCCTTGAGCAAGGAACAGGCTGGCTGGATCGTAGCCCAGAAAGACTTCTGGGAGCTTCACAGATCAGCTCCAGTAAAAATTCTAATTAGCAGAAACTATGGAAATTTAATTGAAAAAGATGAGTGATAAATTACATAATTGAAAAGGATTTTGCCTTTATAGAGGTGGGTGAATTATTGGTGCAGAGTGAGACCTGAACAAAATAATAAAGTCGGCCCTATTCAGTATATGTCACCCTTAGTAACTGAAGCTGTTCTGGCTATTAACTTCACTTAACCCCCCACTCCCTCCTAAAAATAATGTGAGTTAATCAATTTTTATTCAGAGTCCACACCACAAAGATTGTGGTTCAGGTTGGCTAGAGTCTTATCACAACCTGAGTGTTCCTGTGCATAGACCGAACTTATCATGTTTTCTCTGCTCAGGTTATTTTTGAACTTCATACAGTTCAAAACATCTTCCCCTGTAGTGAGATGTGTGTCTCCAGATACATTAGCATTCACACTTCCCTAGAGAGAAATGCATGTTCCTTCCGAAGTGATTCACACATAGCAAGGAAGCATGAAAAGAGGAAATACAAGTTACTCACACATCTTCTGCTGGACTTTGTTTAAATATACAGAGGTAGCCCCAAAGTTCAGAATGATTCTTATCATCTGAGAAGGGGCATAGCTCAGTGGCAGAGCATCTGCTTTGTATGCAAAGATTCGAGGTTCAATACCCAGCATCTCCAGGTGGGGCAAGAAATCCTGGAGAGCTGCTGCTGCTATTCAGTTCAGACAATACTGAGCTAGATGGACCAGTGGTCTGACTCAGCATCAAGGCATCTTCCAATGAAAGGTAGAATGCAGGGGTGGGGAGGAACTCAGTTGGTAAAGATTACTAGTGAGGTTGAGTCTATAGCTGAAAGTATAAACATTGCAGACCCTAAAAAAAAAATGAAACCATCAAGCACCCAAATTCATTAGCTCCAGACACTGGTTAAATTTCCCTATGAATCAATAGCCCTTCAAATAAAAGTTTCACACTCCAGATATACTGCATATTATAGCCGTATCTTTATGTCCAAATGTAAAAGTACAGTGGTACCTCGGGTTACATATGCTTCAGGTTACAGACTCCTCTAATCCAGAAATATTACCTCGGGTTAAGAACTTTGCTTCAGGATGAGAACAGAAATCGCGCAGCGGCAGCGGGAGGCCCCATTAGCTAAAGTGGTGCTTCAGGTTAAGAACAGCTTCAGGTTAAGAACAGACCTCCAGAACAAATTAAGTTCTTAACCCGAGGTACCACTGTATGCTTTTTGGGTTGTAGAGAAATGTGTGATTTGACACTGACATTTCAAGAAGACTGGCAAAACATACAACCAGACTGCATGGAAGCAGTTTCTATACAGTGAACCTCCATTCCTAAGCACATTAGGTTTCTTATGTCAAATGTTGGAAGCAGAGAACATGCTGCTTTCCATTTGAAATAGAAGCCCCTTGCCATGAGCCTTTAAAAAAATTTCAACTTGGCAGGAACTATGTTAGCAAGCTGAAATTCATTCTTCTGGTCTGGAACGGTGTTCATCAAGAGCACAAAACACTGTCATGCTGGCACATTCTAAGGTTCATCTAGTCTGGTGTTCTGTGGCCACCCAGACTGGAGATTCATAGGCAGATCTTAAAGGTTTCCTGCGGCCATTTGTCCCAGACACCCAGTACAGTGGTACCTCGGGTTAAGTACTTAATTCGTTCTGGAGGTTTGTTCTTAACCTGAAACTGTTCTTAACCTGAAGCACCACTTTAGCTAATGGGGCCTCCTGCTGCCGCTGTGCCGCCGGATTTCTGTTCTCATCCTGAAGCAAAGTTCTTAACCCGAGGTACAATTTCTGGGTTAGCGGAGTCTGTAACCTGAAGCGTATGTAACCTGAAGTGTATGTAACCTGAGGTACCACTGTACTTGGAATAGTCCGGTAGCCTCTGAACATGCAGTCTGCCAGGCTGTGAGACAGTGCAGTATCATGTAGAAACTGTAGCCTTATGTAATTCCACATTCTGCCACAAGGACGAGCAACTTTGATTTAATGGAAATAGTTTGTTGAATTTCTATTTTATTTCAGGGCACAAGTACTGATATGAAGGAAGTAATGAATTCAGAAAACTAATATGAGGTTTTTCTTTTTCTTTTTTAAGTACAATTAGTGGAATGTATAGCTGCTGCCTGTGTGGGTGGAAGAGAACATCTGTTTTTAATTAAAGAAAGCTTGCAGTGTTAACTGGTCCTGTGGAATACAGAATTGCTAGGGGGGGAATGATACTCTAGAGTGGCATGTGTTCCTGTAAGCAAACACGCTGAGCAAACACTACACGGAAGGCTCCAAGGATATATACGGATGCTGCATTAAATTTGTCATTTTTATCAAGTGAATATTTTCTTCTAGAGGGAAAGGCTTTAATTTGCACTGTGCTGAGCAGGAAGCAATTAATAAAATGCAAGGATGAAGCATATATTGATGGCAAGTGTGACCAAACAGAATTTGTTCAAAGGGCTGTTGTTAGGCCTAGATCTCACTGAGGCAGTAAAAGAATCACTGGACTATATTGCTTCAGGCTGCATGTGGGGCCTCACACAAATGCTCCTCCCTCCGTACAATAAGATAACATTCTCCCACTCTGAAGCTTCCTTCTGACATCTAATTCACCCTGTGGAGGAAAGGGTTTTTGTATGGATAAGCTTTCTGTTATATGAATCTCCACCTGCAGGCTCTAAGAGTACAGCCTGCACAGGTTTACTAACTGAGTGAAAATTAGGCCAAACTGGACTGATGTTGCTATAATACACTTAGAAGGTAAATTGAAATCTAGAAGCCATTGTAGCAGCAGGAATCTTGGGCTTGGGGAGTTGTGAACAGCTGTGCTCCTCCACCCGCCTTTCCTACTTCAGAACATCTTGTAATCCTCCCAGAGAAAGCTTGTTAAATTTATACTGTTCAGCAAGGGATTTTCCCCAAAGGGAAAGCCCTCTAATGCTCAGGAGCCATTGTTATTCAGTTCACTCCTGGATATGTGATTACTAAACTCAAGGGTGGTTAACTGATCAGCATAGGATATATTATTTGGCATTTTATGGGAGCAATGCAATTTCACGTGGTGTCTTTCAGAAGACAGTCCCTAGATCCTCAACCACGTTGCAAATTACCAGACAATGGGCAATCTGTTTATAAAATTGCAGAGAAGGCTACTTCAAATTAGAAGCAGGGCAAACCCACAAGTATATGGAGTGTGTAGAGGTGAAAACATGTTCCGATTAGACAGGGATGCTCTGTTTACTGTGGAGTGGAAACCTGGGACCCAGGCTCCCACAATGAAAGATGACAGTAGGTTTTCGTATTGGGTTTCTTCCCGCTTTCTCTGTGTAATAATTAGTACATTCATCAAGGCATATTAAGCAGTTTCAAATTATTTTTCTTGGAGAATACTCTTCTCTTTCATTCATGGAGCTGGGAATTAACAAACTCGTAAATCACGGGGACAGCAGCAAATGCTGGATGCTAGCCAAATTAGGAAATAAGCAATTCCACAGGAAACAAAATTAATATAAATAAATAGGATTGTGTTAAGTAAAATAGGGTTGCATTAATAACTAAATGAAAGCATGACAGAAATCTGTACTGTCAGAGCACATTTGAAACGTAGGATTAAACTGACATTGCTGCAAGACAAACATGGTCAAATACAAAGTCACAATTTCAGCCTTATGGCCATGCGTGCGGTCCTTTCAAGAAGTGTATTTGCAATGGTATTGATGGGTTTATCCCTAAAGGGCCAGCCATTGCTACACTTGATTTGAGTCTTACACAGTCTGATTTTCCTGGTCACAGCATTAGAAGAGGCAGAACAGAAGAAAAAAACCAACTAACCAAGGGAATGCATATTTCTTAATTTAAAGTTTTAGTATATTGCAGAAACTATGGATTGGAACAAAACGTAGCATAATGGGAACAAGTTTCAGCAAATCTCAGGTTTGTGAATTCTCCTCCGCCCCATCCTCTGACTATTAGCTTGGGCTGATGGGAGTTCTAGTCAAAAACACCTGAAAGGCACCAGGTTGGGGAAGGCTGTTTTAGTGCAACTGCTCAGTTGCGTTCCCCAAGCTTAGTATCCCATAACTGTGGCAGTCATTTTTTAGTGTAACCCCACTCAATTTATTAAAGATAACCAGATTTGCCACAGCACAGGCAGACACGTAGTTACTCTTCTAATTTCTGATACGCCCACAAGTAGAGGCATAGTGTGTGTGGGGGGGAGCCAGAGGGGCTGTGACCCTGAGCACATTATTTTGAGAGGGCGTGACAAGGCCTTGGGTGCCAGCAACCCGCGATACGGCATTGCCCACAAGTTCAGTATTCCAGAATAGCAGGCATATAATTATGAGAAGAAAAATACAGTGGAACCTTGGGTTAAGAACTTAATTCGTTCCGGAGGTCCGTACTTAACCTGAAACTGTTCTTAATCTGAAGCACCACTTTAGCTAATGGGGCCTCCTGCTGCCGCCGCGCCGCCGGAGCCCGATTTCTATTCTTATCCTGAAGCAAAGTTATTAACCTGAGGCACTATTTCTAGCTTAGTGGAGTGTGTAACCTGAAGTGTATGTAACCTGAAGCGTATGTAACCCGAGGTACTACTGTAAGAAGCTGTGAGAGGATTGTCTCCCTGTGTGCATGTTCTTTAAGTCCAACATTGATGGGCTGTGAGGCCACAAGGATACATTAGGGGTATGACTAAGTTGGGCACAGCCCTCTATTAGCATGGAAAGGAAAACCTCGCAATCTAAGAAGAGTGACATGCGAGCAAAGGTGGAAACCATCAGTTACAAAGTCACACTTAAAAATGTCTGCTGAATCAGCAGCTATTCCACTATAAACAGTAAGTGCAGAAAGACTATGCTTCAGCAAGAGAAGCATCCTGCATGAACTGAACTTTGAGTCCTGGATGTGTATAAATGTATCATTTACCATAAAACATTGTGGGTGAGTGTATGTGTGTGTGTGTGTGTGTATATATATATATATATATATATATATATATATATATATATATATTTCAGCTGATAGTATAGGATCTTTGGCAAAACAAATTATTGAACATTATGAGTAATATATCATTAGTCTCGACGGAAGCTACAAAGATGTGGAAAGGAAGAAGGGTTCTCTGGAGAAAACTCACTCCAGTTAATAATAACCAGTAGCTGTAAAATTGGTACAAAGATTTGTAGGTAATTAGCTAAGAGGATGATACAAGCATATGGCCAGGCATTATGTGTTGCTTTTTTCATGCAAAAATTGCTACAGAATAGGCTTTCCCCCTAATTAACTTGTGTTATCCTTTGATTTATGCAGTGTATTCCATACTACACTAAAACGTAATTTGCAAATTAATGTAAATATATCAACATTGTTGGGCTATTTTAGTCAGAGTTTTCATTTCCAATTGGAAAAGCTTTTTGGAGACTATTCTTTAATCTAATTGTAGGAGGCAAAAGGCCTGCTTACATGTCATTTTGAGTATGTTTCTGGGTATTTTTATTCATTTATCAGTGGCCTCAATTTGCACATTAAAATAACGGTTTCAGGAGTTAACATTTTTTATATTTTGATTTTGTTCTGTGAACCACCCTGAGACCTCGGGGTATAGGGTGGTATAATAATAATAATAATAATAATAATAATAATATAGCAAGCTAGTCACA